TTTTTTTTTATGTGAAAGGGGTGTGATTCCCTTATTTTTTTAAATGTGAAAGGGGTGTGATTCCTCTTCTTTCTATGAATATGTGATTTCGAATGCAAAAGAGGCACAAGTCCTCTTTTTATTATGAATGTGTGATTTTCTTATTGTTAAATGTGAAAGGGGTATTATTCCTCTATTTTAGTTAGATTTGCAAGGATTGTGATTCCTCTATTTTATTTGAACTTGCAAGGGTGTGATTCCCTTATTTTTTATTGTGAAAGATATGCAATTCTCTATTTTAGTTATGTATTGCTCGCTTAGTTATTGTTATTATAAATTTTTTGATCTTAACTTTAAAGCAATGGTGCACCCGTTATCTTGAAATCCTGGATTCGCCTCTGACAAGGATGAACCTAACTCTAATACCATGTAACATAAAAGGTACTAAGAACAACTTATCTATGACTCAAAGACTACAATGATATAATTAGTGACCTAAAGATAAATTTTAATAAGAATCATTAAATATATGCATATGTACACATAATAATAATAATAATAATTTAAAGTTGCCTTTTTTATTATTTTATATAAATTTTGTACGTTTTTTTGTAAGAAAAGAAACTCAAAATTTAAATTTTAAAAATAAAGAAAGAAAACCTATTTACTTCTTATCAAAAATATTTTGGAATTTTGAAATAAACAATTCAAATATTCATATTTATAAATAAAGTTTTTTATAATCACATCAAGATAATGTATTACAAATGAATAACTAGTATCTTATTAATTAGAATTACTTTAAAAGTTTAAGAGGGTGTTTGGATTAACTATTTAAAAGTTCAACATAAAACTATGTTGTTCATCTTGTATTCCTAAGATACTTAGAACAAAACTTTGAAGAACTTGGTAAGACACAATAAAGTTTAAGAACATTTTCACAACTAGAAAATTAAAACTAGTAGAGAAACTAGAATCAGAAACAAATTAGATAAAATATACGAAATATTTTTTTTTTCCATAAAGAAGAATTGTTGTCAATCTGATTCCAACAAACTTTGCAGAAACACGAAGTTACCAAAGTTTAATGAACCAGTGAAGAACAGAAGAACACAAATTAATTCACAAATCTAAAATCTGTAACACATACCAGAATCTGGGAAAAAACAGAAAGAAGATCAAGCCCACTGAATGCACAGTGTCCCCTTAAGGAAATTATTCCCCCCTAGTATCCGAGGTTTGATTTGGAATATGTCCTCCCAGAATAGAATGATCTCAATCACCAGTGTATTGATACCCAAAACGTTGGTGTCAGCGAGCCACTCAACAGCAGTAAAGTACATTTAGAATACTAGATTTAGTAGTAGAAGAAGTCCAGAAAAATTCTATTCTTTTAAAATGAGAGGAAATCCCTCAATTTATAGAAAACAGAGGATAGTGTGAAAAGGTTCTTATTGTGCCTTACCGGAAAGGTTCACAAACCTTTGAAAAAGTTCACAATCTTTCGGAAAAGGTCACCACCTTTCATAAAAGTCACAACTTTTCATAAAAGTCACAACTTTTGACAAAAGTCGCAACTTTTTGATAAAAGTCACAACTCTTCATAATAGTCGCAACTTTTCATCAAAGTCACAACTCTTCATAAAAGTCGCAACTCTTCATTTTCCATTCACACCTTTTAAAACCCAACAAACTATAGTATAACTTAAAATTAGAAAAGGTTTTAATCGTTTACCACCTATGATGTGATTTTGCCAACATGTCTATAACAAAAAATAACAATATTATCTTTTAACTTAAATTCGGATTAGCAATTTTGAATGACCTTCGAGTTGAATTTACCTTCTTCACATTTTGTTAACAAGGAAATCAATTTTCAGTAAAAGAGATTCTTGTTAAAAATCATGTTTACTTCAATTTGTTAGTAATTGAAGATTGGGCAGATTAATATTCCTAATTAAAAAATATGGTACTAGATTTACCACACGTTACTTATTGGAATCTGTCAATATCCTAACAGCCTATGAATTGTGTTAACTAACACAAATTGTGTTACAATTGCCTATATATGTTTGACAAATAAAATTTGTAGAGCTCAGAGTCTCCTTTGTCTCCTTTTCAATATATAATAGACAATGCAACAACAAATGATCTACTTTTTTCACCAAACACCCAACAAATATTATTTCTTGAATTCTCTACAATCAACAAGTAATATTAAATCAATTCTAGAAAATATATTCATAAAATACGTAGTTTTACAAAAAAACCACCAGTTCAGGTGCACCATACTTATCTACTAAGGTCGCCCTTGTTGGTGTCATATTAGCTTTGCTGTTTTACTATGTGTGTGATTATACTATGTAATCTCTCTTCTTATTTTTTTTTTCCTTGAGCCGATGCTATCTTTATTCGCATAAACTTGAATGGACAGTTTACATGAAGGGACTGTTCGTGTCAAAGGTGGCTTGGAATAGTTGTTATTAAAAGTAGTAAAGACATAAGGTGGGGAATAATGTATTGTAGAGGGAACCAAGTGTGACATTCATTCTGTTAAAGTTGTGCCACATTTTGCAAGCACAGCTACATGTTTCGCCTTTGGATAAACATGCTTAATTTCTGAGTTGTGTAAAGCTCTTCATCAATAACATGCAACCAAAGAGGTGAGTGGAGACAGGTCTCTGTGTGTGCGAGATTAGCTAATGTCTGTGAGTCAAGCTCAATCTGCAAAGAGTAGTAATTTAAATTCCCAGCAAGGCGAAAGCCCAACAAGAATGTTGCAAGTTCACATTCAAACACAGTTGAACAGAGAATAGTGGTGTACCAAAGCTTATGCGGCATTTCATATCAGTGCATATGGTATTAAAACTCGTCCTGAAATAACCAGATTTTAGATGTACAACCCCCACCCCCTCCTAATTTGATTTGAGTGACGATTTGACAGATAAATTCTCACTACCATCATGTTCTATCTCTTCGTCACTGCCATCATGTTCAATCTCTTCGTCACTGCCATCATGTTTGATTTCTTCGACACTGCCATCATGTTCCATCTCTCCGTCACTGCCATCATGTTGGATCACTCACTCTCTGAATCTCGCTAAAAGCCACTCCTCTCGTCCATTCACCAGTTTCTTGCAATCGACCATAGTAAGGACTTGTAAATTGCAGGGCAATCCTCCTTCAGGAAAGGACTTGACTCTATTTCTGGATACCACAGTTCCAATTTCTTAAGAGATGGAAGGAGTTCCTGCATACATTCTGGCAGCTACTTCAGCTTCGAACAGTCCTATATTTGCAAATACGTCATCTAGGTCCCCCACATGCCACCGAATTTTTTTCAAGATTCTCACAACGCCAAATAGAGATCCTTTCAGGGGCAGTAGGAATCATAGACCTAGTAAGGTTGGGGCAACCGCCAACTGTCAATTCGCATGCTCTTGGGAGCAACTCAGGTGATATATCACGTTCTTCCAGTCTCAATTCCTTGAGAATCATGTTACAATAACTCATCTCACCAACTGGCAGATCCAATTTCAATTTCTGGCAATGATCTATGCTTATTCTTTTCAAGGTACTCGACAGTATGCTAAATGGTAAGGAGGTAAGATAGTCACAATGAGCAATAGATAATTCAACAATCTACTTCATACCCTAAAGTTGGAATGTAAACAGTTAAGTCTCAAAATTGTGTTCAGGACATTTTGAAATACTCAATTCTGTCAGAAAACAAAGAGTTACAATGATCAATAGATAATTCAACAATCTACTTCATACCCTAAAGTTGGAATGTAAACAGTTCAGTCTCAAAATTATGTTCAGGACATTTTGAAATACTCAATTCTGTCAGAGAACAAAGATTTTCAAGCAACTTACCCATCAACTTCCGACAATTTTTAATTGAAAGGTATTCAAGTATAGGGAACTCACCACTTCCTAGTACGTGCCATTGCTTCCACTCTGGCATCTTTGCAAATTCAAGTTTCTCAAGAGAGTTGAAAGGCTTTTTGGAGGATGAACTGCCATAGAATTCATCCGTGACCTCTGTTATTCAATGCATCTCACTAATGGAAAGGAATTTCAAAGAAGGGAGTTGTCCTAGTGATGGCAAGGAATCACAGTTCTTGCAGTTGTTAATAGACAAATTTCACCAGCTTAAGAAACAAAGGATCAGCTAGCCAATTTGAAAATTTTGTCCCTCTATATCCGGTGACTGGTAGTTCTTTTGTGTCTCTTTCAGTTTGTGAATTGTCGACAGTACTACTTTCACTCCACACCAAAGATAACTTCTCAACATCGTTCTTCTCTCTCATCTTTTCCTTCAGATCTTCCCTTTTATCTACCACATTTTGCAACTCTCAAACTGATAGAGATCCATACAAGTTCTGTACTTCCCCCAAATCTTCCAAACCACCGCGACCTCCTAAAAGAAACTTGGCTCCCACTAGCACTTGGAGGCTTTTCAACTTTCTCAGATGTAGTGACATCTTCAAGCGAGAAGTGTAGGTTATAACAAGATGATACAAGTTACTCAACTTCTCCTTCTGCAGCGGTAGCTCCTCAAGACAATAACAATATGACAAGAGGAGTGTCTCCAAGTTATACAATGAACAAATAGAATCTGGCAACCTTTTTATCTGTCCAAGAAAGTTCCATAAATCTTTAGGAGTTTTAATTTGATAAACAAGTCATCCAGCAAATCCAAAATCATAATTTCATACACAGAGAGTACAAATGTTTTATGAAAGATGAAAGAAAGATAGCACAATAGTTTAAGTGAAGTGCGTGGACTTCCTCTAATCCTAAGGCTGGTTTGTATAATCTAGCTCTTTGCTCTTTTAAGGAAAACCCATGGGTATTTCATTCAATCAAGGATTTGTAGTGAATTCCTTGATTGAGTCTGATTTAGGGTAGATTGTGATCAAGTCCATATCATCTATGTTCATGATCTTCTTTCTTCTTGACAAGATTTGCCTTCCTTTCCAGATTCCTTGATTTGTGAAACTTTGTCCAGTAGCTTGGTTTTGAAGATTCTCTGATTTGATTTTGCCTATCAATCTTGGTCTTGAAGATTCTCTGAGTTGTCTTCCATTGATGCTGGTTTTGTTGATTTGATTACGTCGCTTGATTACAGGAGAGTAAATCAATTGTCCTTGAATTTCTCCTTTGGATGAATTCAATCTCTTGTGCTTCCTTCCTTATTTGTGATCTGTTCTCATTGATTCTGTAGACATAATATTTGGTTAATTGTTATTTATCAAAATCCATAAGTTGTAGGTTCGCGAGGCTAACATATTGCTCCAGAAATCCTGATATGTCTCTTGTGTGTTACATTAAACAACTTTTAGCTCATGTACCTGTGTGTTACAATAAGTCATGCTTCATCTCAAGGAACTAGTAGACGGCTGACTTGGAAATCACAGCCTTCTTACTGAAAGTAATCAAAAAGAAATTTTAGAACTCTTAGCCAATCCCCATATTACAATTACAGACCACACACATCTATATATATAGCTGACCATTCATGATTTTAGTTGACTGAAGTTTAAGAACATAGAAAAGATCGAAAAACTCCTAAAATAACAATCGATCAACGACCAAATCAACCTAATAGACAAGCAAAGGAGAACTCCACAAAATTAACTGTCAAGTTATCTGGACATTAAATGCAACTAAGCGTAGTAAGACGACATCATATTTTGAACAGCTTATATCCATCAGCTAAAACTAGAATTAATAAGAGATGACTCTTTCTTTGTTATGCTGTCAATTCTAAGAAGTAAAATACAACATACTAGCTAGTACTAACAACTACAACATATCCAGTATAGTACCATAGGTGGGGTATGAGGAGGGTAGGTGTATGCAGACTTTACCACTACCCTTGAAGAGGCAAATAGGTTGTTTTCGATAGACCCTCGACCTGAGAACATGTTTGAAAGAAGAGCAAGAGTAAAAAATAATGAAGAAAGAAAAGTACTAACAGTAAAATCTTTTCCGATTTAACGGACTGTTAAATTGCAATAGTTATATCACCGGCCAGTTAGGAAAGTAAGGAGGAGAAGTTCTGAAAGAAAAGTTCTGTTCATATTGATGTAACAGAATCTTGCAAGACTTTCCATACCTTAGACATGTTCTTTTTATGTCCTAACAAATAGATGTGGTGATGACCATTGTCTCCTCGTAAGTATACATTCCCATGGATGATTGATGCATATTCTTTCTTCTTATGCTTTCAAGAATATCCCCAGCCTACATAAATATTTGTAAGGAAATCTATATGTTTCAATAGAAAACTCACCTTATATTCAATTTAACAACCAATTGACAAACCTTAGTTATCATCATCATGTTGTGGCACAATTAAATATGTATCCTTCATAGATTCATTTAAAAATATTTTCTGTAGTGACATCAGATCTTCATTCTACTTCTACTGTTAAGAAAAGTTTCATTCTAGACATGGGATCTTTGATGCTTACAAGAACTAAAAAGTTTCAATTAAACATGGTTGCACAAGCTACATATGATGTTTTCGCAATTGAGATGTGAAATTAAAACGTGATAAGATCATAATCAATAAGCAATATGAGAAACCAATCCATTACCTGCCATCCAAGAAATATGCAATTATATAATGCACAACAATTAGTTGCTAGTCTGTAATTGACTCAGGTAGAATTTCTCCCTGTTATGAGATAAAAATTTTAAAATGTGTAAATGAAGCATCACAATTAGGAGCTACAGAAAACAATTCTAAACAGGGAAAATGGGACATAATACCTCAGAAAAAGTTCTCAACGGTGATCCATATCGAAATTAATGCCATCAAAATTTCAGTCTTTATCGCAACTTTGTATTCTTAAAAAAATACCGGTATCATTCGAGGTTTTTCCTTTTCAACGGTAGACCAAACATATGCATAATCTTGGGTCAAAAATTAATCCAGTGGAATCTGAATTAGGTGACAGAAACTTAGCAAACATTTCATAAAGGAATTTTGCAATTTCTCATTTTCTATGGAAGCAAAGCATGTATTATTAACTCAATCAGAAGATGTGTAAAACAACAGATAGAAGAGGATAAGCAGAAAAATAAAAATTTAGATCAACAAAAGCCAATCGTATGTTAAACAACTTTCGAACAATGAAAACGATATTTTCAACAATATCTAAACTTACTAATCGATTTCACATGTCCTTATTAGTGGAAAAACTGCTTTAATCATGTGGGTTGAAGTTGAACATGTCACTAGTATGATTGCTTCTTTGTTAGAATACCACTTTGAAAGTGTCTCAAAACAATTATATCTGAATAGCTCTCTACCATTCTAATGGTTTTTTGCTCAACAACTCCAAACTAACTCACCTCCAACAATTGTGTTGGATCCACACAAGTCGGGCAGATCAGACGAGTCTTAGAAGCAGGGTGCAACCACTGTCTCGGTCACACCTCCAAAAACACTGAAGTCTCAAGCTAAGCAACAACTACATGTAGAGAGTAAAGACACTTTTCAGGTACTGAACAAAGAGGGTAAGAATAAGAAGGCTACCAGTAACAGTGAAGAAACAGTGGGAGGCCATCCTAATCCCAATATTGGGAATGTATAGTTGTCTTTGTCGGAATGTGAGAGGGCTCAATGGCCCTAATAAGCAGAAGGAGGTGAAACTATTTTGTAATAATGAAAAAATTGGGCTAGTAGGGTTACTGGAAACAAAAATAAAAGTAGGGAAGGTCGATTTGATAGCTTAGAAGATGTTTGGTGGCTGACCATTCATTACCAATCTTGCTTCTCATTACAATGGTAGGATTTGGATAACTTGGAGGCCGGATTATTATACAGTTACACTAAAAGAATCAACATCTCAGTTGATTACTTGTGAAGAGAGAAGTGTTCCTCTGCAACATTCATTTATCATGACAATGGCTTATGCCTATAATACAAAGGAAGGCAGAAAAGAGTTATGGGAATCTCTTATGTTTGTCAATTACCTTGGATGATCCTAGGCGATTTCAACTCAGTACTAACAACTGAAGACAGGATTGGGGGCTACCCTGTGGTGTGGTCAGAAATAGAAGATTTTTCAGAATTGTATTGCAACATGTGGTTTCATAGAAATGTCTTACCAGGGTCAAAGATAAACTTGGAATGATAAAAGTGATAATCAGAAGATTTTTTTAAAAAATTTATAGGGTCTTTATTAACAATGTATGGCTAGGCACACTGCGTTCCAGTGTAGTAAAGTACCTTCCTGAAAGAATAAATGATCATTGCCCAATTAAAGTGACACTAACTAATGCAGACTCATAGAACAGGAAGTCATTTCAATTTTGTAGTGTATGAGTGACTCAGCCCAGATTTAAGGAGAAAGTGAGAGAAGCATGGGACACTTAAGTAGAAGGTTGTAAGCTGCTAAAAGTAGTTAGAAAGCTAAAGATCATGAAATATGGATTAAAGGAGCTTAATAATCGGGACTTCAGGAATATTGTTTCTGAATGTCAAGAGGATAGGGAAGCTATGTTGAAGGCTCAACAACTATTACAGCAGGATCCTATGAATGTTGATTATCAGGAAGATGAGAAGGAAAAATACCAAAAATTCAGACAGACCTCCTACAAGGTATAAATTTATCTTCAACAGAGGAGCAAAGCTACATGGATAAAACTTGGAGACGATAACACCAAATATTTCTTCTCTGTCATAAAATATCGAAGCCTACAACAAGCAACAACTCAACTTAAGGATGACTCTGGGAATTGGAAGACTGATCCAGAAGTAATAGTCAAGCTGTTTGTAGACTATTACATAGAGTTACTGGGGAAGAAGTGCAGTCAAAGGATGCGAGCCTATGGAAATTTTTTGAAGAATGGACATTGTCTTACTGTGGATCAACAAGTTGAGCTTTTGCAAGCTTATACTCCTAAAAATATCAAGACTGCCATGTTTCAAATAGACACTAATAAAAGCCCCGGATCCTATGGTTATGGGAGTGAATTCTTTAAGTCAGCTTGGGATATTGTAGGGACAGACATTACGGATGCAATCCTTGAATTCTTTAGGAATGGAAAATTGTTAAGGCAGTTAAATACCACAGACATTGCTCTGATTCCAAAAGTCACAGCTCCTGAATCTGCCAATCAACTTAGGCCTATTTCGTGTTGCAATGTAATTTACAAATGTATTTCCGAAGTCTTGTGAGCTAGATTGAGAGGTGCTATTAGAGCACTAGAGTGGTAGGAAACCAATCCGCTTTTGTCCAAGGAAGGTCTATGATACACAATATCATGATATGTCACGACTTGATGTGACACTATGGGAGGAAAATCACACCAAGATGCTTGATGAAAATAGACCTAAGGAAAGCCTACGACGTGGTAAACTGGGAAATCTGTGGAGCACTGACAGGATATAGGTTTCCTAAAAGTTCTATACCATTGGTGATTACATGTGTCTCTTCACCGTATTTTACCATCAAAGTCAATGGAGAGGGACATGGGATTTTTGCTGGCAAGAGAGGTTTAAGACAAGGGGATCCAATGTCCCCTCTCTTGTTTGTTCTAGTAATGGAGTATCTGTCGAGAGTGCTCAAGTGCATGGGCGACGTGCCTAATTTTAACTTTCATTCAATGTGTAAACACCTCAAGTTGACTCATTTGATCTTTGCAGATGATCTAATGATCCTCTGTAGAGGTGATGCCGGCTCTGTGACTAGAGTGATGGAAGCTTTAACTCATTTTAGTGAGGTTACAGGTTTGGTGGCAAATGTAGAAAAATCTAACCTCTTTGTACCTGGAATTGATGACGGAACTCAAGGACAATTGTTAGAAATAACTGGTTTCACTTTGGGACAGCTTCCAATCAGATATCTTGGGCTTCCATTGTCATCCAAGAAGTGGACAAGAGTGGATTGCCAACAGCTGATGATGAAGATCACTAATCAAACTAACACTAGATATTCCAAACTTCTATCTTATGATGCTAGAATTCAAGTTGTGACTGCCGTATTGTTTTCTATACACAGTTTCTGGTGGTCAGTGTTCATCCTTCCCAAGAGTATCCTCATGGAGGTTGACAAGATTTGTAAGAACTACATTTGGGGGAGTAATGAAGAGAAGAGGAAAGTGCTACTTGTAGCTTGGAGAAAATTTGTTGTCCAAAAAAGTTCGGAGGGCTGAATGTAAAGGGATGTAGCAACTGGAATGTTGCATCAGTTGGCAAACTTCTCTGGCAGTTATCAGAGAAACAAGATAATACTTTTAGTAAAATGGGTCCATGGGCTCTATATATGAGGAATGATGTTTCCATGTGGGAACATACCCCGCCTCTAGACTACAACTTGTATTAGAAAAAACTAAATGCAATAAAGAACAATATGAGGAACGGGTAAGTACAAGGGAGGTATACTTTGACCCACTCTGGCCAATATTCAATTTCTGCCAGTTACATTGCAATGCTAGGTGAACTGAACAGGCTACGGATAGCTGATCTTATCTGGACTTCTGTAGCACAGCCAAGGCATAGAATGATAACGTGGTTAGCAGTACAAGGCAGGCGACTTACCAAGGACCGGATGCTACATTTGAACATTCCTGTTGATAATGAGACATGTTGTTTGTGCCGCAGCCAAGTGATGGAGACAACTGCATCTCTTCGCCCATTGCACTTGGTTGGGACAAGTTAAAGCTGAAATTTTATCATGGGGTGGTATGCAAGTTTACCCAGGTGAGGTGAGGTGAGACAAGTCCTAGAAAGGATCAAGCGGAAGCATTAGAGGCAATTCTATAAATAAGTATTTGCAGCAATTTGGAGTGCCATAGTTTACTGCACTTGGATGGCAAGGAACTAGAAGTTGTATAGAAACACAACTGTCAATAGTGAGATAGTAACTGCACAGATAAAAACAGAATTTACAGAGAGAATAGCATTGTTTAGAGGATCCAAGAAAGCTCATAGAAGTTATAGGCTGATTCAACATATTTCCACGTAACTAGTTCTCTTGTCAAGTTGGAGGCCTAAAAGGCATAGAACCTTTCCTAGAAGGTAGCTATGGATTTTAGGCTTAGTTGCGCGGACTCTTCACTTTTGATGCCGCACCCGTCTCGGATTCTTCAAAAATACACTACTTTTGGCGAATCCGACACGGACCCGATGGCATTTTTGAAGATTCCGAGCAACATAGATTTTAGGTGCTCTATAGGTGTATCGGCCCTTTGTTTGTTAATGGTATTTACAGTTGAGCAAAAAAAACAACTCCAAAAAACCAACATAAGCAAATTCCACGAAAAAATCTAACAAAAAGAAACCTTCAAGTATCTTTTCTTTTATTGCAAATGAATAATCAATATGTTTCACCATTTCTCCAATCAAATTCATTATTTTCAACCTCAATCTAAAGTGAGAACTAAAAGAACACCTGATTTTACTGCATATTTAAAAAATACATAAATATGAATACTTAATTAAGAAAACTTATATTAAACGAGTCTCATTTGGCAAATGAAAACTCCAAGTGTTTGCACTTCACATCAAAACATTTTCTACTGCAGCTTTCAAAAAATGAAATAGAGCTTTACATTATAAATATATTAAAAAAACTAAAACTAACATAGTAATTACCTTTTAAATATTTTTAGTCGGATCATTAAAATGGATTGAATAGATGTCTTTTTATTTCTTAAAAATTTTAAATTTTGATTTTAAATAAAAATTTCATATTAGCAAATTATAATGAAAAAATCAATTAAATAGATTGATTGACTTGGTAAGTAAAACTTCCATAGTTAATCAAAGTTGAGTGATTTTTTGAGAAAAAAATTTATAGTTGAGTGATCAACTAAGATATTATCTCTCCAAATAATTATAGGATGTTTCACAAAATGAACAATACCAATTAGGCTGGACACAAATACTGTAGTAGCAAAACAATTGGAACAGAAAAAATTCAGGCATAGATTGGGTGTATTGTTGTTGTAAAAAATTCACGTTTAGATTTTGAAGTTAAAAAATCAAAATAATTACAATAAAGATAAATTTTAAACCTCAAATCAGAAGCAATTTCCCACTTTAAGTATCTGAATAACAGTAGAAAACTGATATACTCCGACAGCATTGTGATGTAAAGCAGGGAAAAACCAATATAAGTGCTGCAGTGAGAAAGAGAGAAGAAAAAATATATATACCTTTGGACCTTTCTCACCCATAAACTTCTTCGCATCAGGTAAAGCAGAAAACTTGGGTTGAAATGGGTGTGGGGTTGAATTCTTCTCCTCTGTTGATGTCTTTTTTTTAAACTTGGGTGTCATTGGAATTTTGAAACCGACGGTTTCTTTGTTTCGCTGGCTGATGACTGATGAGAGTGCCAATGAAGGAAATCTATTTCGCTGATTTATGAGAGTGCAAACTATTACTTAAAAATACGCATCTTGGTAACTAAAACACGAGTAAATCATTATTTTGTTATCTAACCTTGAAGTCATCCCGACTAGGATATACTTCCTTGACTTTCCGCTAGCTGTGAGGTGTCACTCGAGGTTGAGTAATGGACATAACTTGAAAGAAACTTCATAATCTCCAAAGTTCTCTGAATATCAAAACCAAAAAATGGATGTAATATTCTGGATTTTGAATACCAAAAAAACTGATGTAAAATGCAGTAGCATCAAATTTGATATCAATATGGTACAACATGGAGTAAATAATGAAAGTAGGCATTCAAAGTCGTTTTCAATTTCTTTAAATTTCAAGCTTGATGTAACTCTTGTGAAGGTCTTGGCTACCTAATTGAGAAAGTGAGGTTGCATTTCTTGGGCCATCTATGTAGAAGAGATGACAAATGAGGTTGGATTTCTTGGACCCTTTATCTCTGTAGAAGAGACGAAAAATGTGGAACAACTTTCATGATGGCAAATAAACTTCCAGTCTGCAAGATTTGAGAGAGAACATAGGTCATGAAGAGTGAGATTTGTCACAAGTATATATGAATTGCTTTTGTGCGATAAACATCCTGGTGACAACTCTGGAGCAAATTATCTCAATTCCTGCTTATATTAGATTTCTTTTACAATGTTTCAATGCAAATATAAGGAGTTTTTTCCTGATCTAAAGATATTTCCTCGACTTCACAGAGGTAATAGATGCTACAACACTGGTCCAAAAGATTTAACAGGCAAGCAAATAGAAGTAACTAATAATCAAAAGATACGAAGGAAATAGTATAACTTATATATCTGTAGGAGCACCACTCATTTTAATTATTTCAGGTTCTCCCATATATGGTGGAAATATGAGCAATTTTTGGTCACTAGCCGTGGTTTGAGCAATAGACACTCCACACTGCTCAACAAGATTTTAAAAAGGAAAAGAATTAACAGAAAAGCAAAGTGAAGTAAGCAAAAGTAAAAAGCTTCCGAGGGAAAAGAATAACTTACATTTGTCAGAGCACCATTCGTTTTAAACATTACAGGTGTTTCCCATCGACAAATATGAAGGGAATTTGAGCAATATTTGGCCAGTATTCCCCCTTCTGAAATTCTAGTAGTGGGCTGAGCAGTGGGCAGCGGAAAATCCATAGTTCAGAGAGGGAAGAGGGCACCCCTTTTACTGGAAGGGATTGGAGATTAGGGCAATTTCTGATGGTCAGCTCAGAGAGGGAGGAGGGCAGTGCTGATTCAGAAAGTGATTGGAGCTTAGGGCAATCCTTGATGGTCAGCTTAGAGAGGGAGAAGGGCAGTGCTGATTCAGAAAGTGATTGGAGATTACGGCAACACTTAATGGTCAGCTCAGAGAGGGCGGAGGGCAGTGCTGATTTGGAAAGTGATCGGAGATTATGGCAATACTTGATGGTCAAATGAGAGAGGGAGGAGGGCAGTGCTGATTCGGAAAGTGACTAGAGATTACAGCAATTGCCGATGCGTAGACGTAGAAGCGAAGTGAGGTAACAAAGGCCTAGTGAATTGAGCTCATGATGGCCATATAAATATAGCTCAGAAAGAGAGGAGGGAAGCCGCCATTCTTCCAGAAGTGACTGGATATGAGGTAAATAAGCAATATATAGAAATTCAAGAGAGGTGAGGCTTTTGAGATCTTGGCTGCTTATTGTTTTCAGATTGGATACCTCAAGTCTTCGAATAGAGAAAGGTAACTCCCAATGTTCCATCTCTTCGTCACTGCCGTCATGATAGATCACTAATTCTAACTCTCTGAGACGAGGGAGTCCCTGTAAACACCACTCCTTTCGGCCATTCACCAGTTTCTTGCAATTAATGATCTCAAGTTGTTGTAAATTGAAGGGCAATCCTCCTTGAGGAAAGGACTCTATCTCTGGACAATTAGAAAGATGCAGTCCATTAAGAGATGGAAGGAGTTCCTGCATATGATCTGGAAGCCACTTCAGCTTCTCACAGTAGCCTATACTCAATGATGTCATCGCAGATGGAAGTGCCACCGAAAGTTTTTCAAGAGTCTTACAATTACCAATATAGAAACTTTCAGTGGAAGTAGGAATACAAAACCTAGTAAGATTGTGGCAATTAGATACATTCAACTTGCGTGTTCTTGGGAGCAACTCAGGTGATATATCATCTATACAATCACATTCTCAAGGCTCAAATCCTCAACAAACATGTTATAATAACCAACTGGCACCTCCAATTTCAATTTCTGGCAACGAGATATCCGTATTCTCTTCAAGGTACTGGGCAGTATGCTAAAAGGTAAGGAGGTAAGAGAATTGCAACCAATAATAGATAATTCAACAATTTGCTTCATTCCCTCAAGAACTCCAACCTTAGGAGAACCAATAACTTGAAACCTTGAAAGTTGGATGGGTGTCTCCAGACTGAGTTCAGGACAATTTATAATTGAAAGGTTCTCAAGTGTAGGGAACTCTCCATTTCCTAGTACATGCCATTGCTTCCACTCTGGCATATTTGCAAATTAAAGCTTCTCAAGAGAGTAAAAAGGCTTTTTGGAGGATGAACTGCCATAGAATTCTTCCGTGACCTTTGTTATTTGATGCATCTCTCTAATGGAAAGGAATTTCAAAGAAGGGAGTTGCCCTAGTGCTGGCAAGGAATCACAGTCCCTGCATTTGCTAATAGACAATTTAACTAGCTTAAGAAACGAATGATCAGCCAGCCAATTTGGAAATTTTGTCCCTCTATATCTGGTGATTTGGAGTTGTTTTATGTTTGTGTGTGGGCATAGCTCATCAAGTATGTCTCTTTCAGTTTGTGAATTGTCAGCACTACTTTCACTCCACTTCAAAGATAACTTCTCAACATGATTCTTCTCCCTCATCTTTGCCTTCACGGCATCCTTTCTATCAACCACATTTTGCAACTCTAGAATTGATAGAGATCCATACAAATTATGCAGTTCACCCAAATCTTCCATGCTCGATCCACCTAGAAGAAGCTCGGCTCCCATTAGCACATGGAGGCTCTTCAACTTGCTCAGATGTAGTGGCATCTCCAAGAAAGAAGTGTTGCTTATGTCAAGATGATGCAAGTTGATCAACTTTTCCATCTGCAACGGTAGCTCCTCAAGATGATCACAATGTGACAGGAGAAGTGTCTCCAAGTTATACAATGCACAAATGGAATCCGGCAACCTTTTAATCGCTGTCTGAGAAAGGTCCAAAAATCTGAGGAGCTTTAATTTGATAAACAAGGCATCCGGCAACTCCACAGTCCAATAATTTGACAACGATAATGCCCTTAAGGATGTTAGTCTTGGCAATATGCTATGCAGCACCCTCTTGCTAAGTGGAGCACCATGTTGGAAACTGATTGGAAGCAATGTCCTCAGATGCTTCAATTTTTAGAGCGGTGTCAATTTCTCAAAGTCGATACTTTCCATTGAATATGATAAGTGTCGACCTTTTTCCAACATATGAGATCCTTGGCTCTCTTCCAATCTGATACAAAGTTTTGAAGATGCAATTTGGGCTAAATCATTGACAAGGTCATGCATTAAGAATTTCTCTATGTTCCCTTGAGAAGGATTTGGGACCCTTTCGAATAACGATCTTGATCTCAACTCGAGAAAGTATTGGTTGCCTGAATCTTGAATGATTCTATCTTCCTGCAGTATAAGACCATTTGCAACTAACAGATGAATAACTTGTTCTTTCCTAAATGCATAATCTTTAGGAAATATTGCACAATAGGAAAAACATCGCTTTAAATGTGCAGGAAGATCATTGTAGCTCAACATCAACGCTGGTAATATGTTATTGTGTGGCAGCTCCCATATTTCACTTCTCAAAATACGTTTCCACCCCTCAACCTCTGATTTGGAGCGTAACATGCCAGCGAGCGTCTTCAGAGCTAAGGGCAGTCCTTTGCACTTGGCTGCAATTTGTTTTCCCACCTCTTCAAGTTCCGGATGTCCCATAGGGTCCATGTTTTCAAAGGCATGTCTTTTAAATAAAGACCAAGAGACTTCAATAGACAAATTGTCCAAGCTAATTTGCTCATTTGCCATCATCAAGGCAACACTCTCTTTACGTGTCGTCACAATGATCTTACTTCCTATATCTCCTTGTACAAAAAGATTTCTCAAGTCATCCCACTCGTTGTAGTTGTCATTCCACACATCATCCAGAACAATAAGAAACTTCTTTCCCTTTAAGCTTTCCTTCCATTTGACTTGTAGCTGATTAAGATTGTCATCAACCTTCAAGTCAAATGAGCCAATTTCTTGAAGTAACCCTTTTGTTATTCTGAAAGCATCATATGCCTCAGAAACACAAAACCAAGCTTTCAAATCAAAATGGTCCTTCACCTTCTCATCATTGTAAACTACTTTAGAAAGTGTTGTTTTACCCACACCCCCCATTCCAACAATAGAAACTACAGTCAACTTTTTCCCATTTGCATCTTCAGACAATAAACGGTCAATCAATTCCTCTATATTAGTCTGCCTTCCAAAGATATCTGAATCATCAACCAAAGAAGTTGAAGGTGTTCTAGCTTCTTGTTTAATCGAACCAAAATGCTCCTTTAAGCCAAGGAGACCAATTTGCTCTTGCAAATCCTTCAATGTTTCAATAGTATCTTCCAACTTCTCCTTTATGTTTAGAAAGAAATCATCACTCAAGCACAGGTTTAGGTCACTTACTTCTGCAAGATTTTGATGCTGACCTTCCACCTTAAGCCTCAAAGCTTCATAATTGATTTCTTCCGTCAAGTTTTCTGCAGAATCCACAGCATCTCGAAGCTCATCAACCCACTGGCTCACAGATTGATTTGATGCTTGCTTATTCTCTGCATCACTTAGCACAGCTTGAAGACCAAGCAAAGTCATTCTCAGCTTCTTTAAGATCCGAAAATCATTCGTATGCTTCTGAAACATCTTGAGCAAATCACCCTTAGGAGCAAGCCTATCAAAGAGAACATTCAAAGCTGAAGAGAGAAATGCACCACCAACTGCTAACCCAATATCCATTTCTGAATCTACAAAGCAAAACAAGGAAACACAAAATGATTTTGAGAAGATTAATTCTTGAAACACAACGATTGCAAACAAGAATGATATTTCTCTCTCTCTCTCTTGCTAGTTGTCTTATCTGTTTTCACCAAACTAGAAGAGTCAAAAATTGAGGCAAAAGAGAAGATTATTCTTTTTGGGTTAAAATCATTTTCACCCCAACTTCACTTCAAAAATCAATTTATCCTCTCGACTTTGAATAATCATCAACTCTCTCCTTTATTCTAAGCATTATCCATTTTTACCCTTATTATACCCCTTATATGTAATACTTCTTTTATATTATATATAATTTATTTTTTAACCTAAGTATTTATAATCTTTTTTAAGTTATTAACATTACAAGTAGAATAATATTTTTACGAATTTGTCACAAAATTTAATATTATATTTATGATTATTGTTTCAATATAATATGATTTAAGTGTGTGTATGTGTGTGTTTTTGTCTTTCTCCACTCTCTACTCCGTGTGTTTTATATTACTTGACCCCTTCCCGATATGATGTCCCTAAAAAAGTTAATTAGAGGTTTGTTTTACTAAACTAACATTATTAATAATATTTTGAAACTTTAAATTTGACTATTACTATTTTATGCAGTTATTTAATATTAAGAATAGACATAAAAAAAAGTATTTGAAAATTCTTTTGATTTCATTAATTGGACAAGTAAATCAAAACAACTATTTTTAGTATGAGGGTAAAGTGATATAAACCTCCGGGGAATTCTCTATTTTCTATATAAATAAACAAGTTCTGATTGACATTAATGCAATATTACATAAATTATAGTTTAAAATAACTTAAATTTAAAAAATACCATCTTTAAAAATTAGACCTTAATTAAATTAATTATTTTATATTTTTACATTGAAATATATTTGTATAGTTATTATTCTCTGTTATTCTTACTTGTGTAAACAAATATATGGGTTTTGATTATTATTAATAAAAATATTTTTTTCATTATGCTAATTTACTTCATTATAAACCATCATTAGCTCATATTCTTAATTAATATTTCTCACTTTATTATTGTTCAAGAAAAAATGATTATGCTTTTCGTGAAAAATTTGTTACATGAATTCAAAAAAAAAAATCATTAGTTTTAAAGAAGTTAAAAAGAGTTGACAATGAAAGGGTATAATAGGCATTTAAATTATTTTGTTAGGATGAAGAAGGGGATTTGATGATTGTTCAAAGTTGAGGGGAGGAGTTTAATTTTTAAAGCAAAGTTGGAGGATGAAATGATTTTCACCCTTTTTTTTTTGTTCGGGTTGGAGGTGGGGGGTGGGAGGTGTACAGCCTTAGAATCAAAACATCATTTTAAGACCTCTCCAACTCTATTCTTTATTTAATTCTCTAAATATAGAAATTTCTATATTTGGAGACAATCAACTCCAATCAAACTCTCTATTTTACTCTCTTAAAAATACTTCTTCTATCCATATTAGATGGACAACTTATTAAAAAAAATTGTCCCATATTACTTAGTCAGTTACTAAATTAGGATAGTATTAATTATTTTTTTTCCATTTTACCCTTACTATGGCCTTTGGAATTTTAAACAACTTTGAAGACCCAATAATTTCTTTTTTCAAGAGGCTAATTAATATGAACAAAGGGCAAAGTAATAAATTTGATTAATTTATTAATGATTTCTTAATTACCGTGTAAAATAAAAAGTTTCCATCTAATATGAGACAGTGGGAGTAATTTTATTCTCTCCTCAATATTATACTTTTATTCATACCCGTGTGTTGCGCGTTTTAAATGACATAATTTTTAAGTTAAAAACAATTTATTAAATTTATTATTCACTTTTAATTCTTTTTAAAAAAAATTCTTTTTAGTAATAAACTGTTACTATTTATATGACCATATTTAACTTAATGTTTTGGTACACAAATTTATTTATTGTTATATTATTCTAATAGCTATAATCAACTACGTTTTTAGTTTACAATATATGTATGTTGAACTATTAATAAAGCTATATTTTAAAAAAAAATTAACTTACCACATTGTCAGGCCCCAAACTAGGGGAGACGCAACTAGCACCCGGTACCTTATTCGGCAGAGCTAGCCATTGAAACATAATAGAAAGAGAATAATGGGACCCAACAAAGCCATCACAATTAACTACTGAAACAAGATAAATGGAACTATGAGGTCACAACAGTATTAATGACATAATGAAAGTACCGGCAAGACCAACATAACTGATAAAGAACTAGCAAGCCGACAAGGCTACAACTGAAATCATATATACAATAATTCGACAAGGTTATAAATAGAAGCTGAGACGACCCAACAAGGTATGTCCACAAGTCTCTAAGAATACTACAACTCAACTGGTTGGTAAAAGGCCATAACTATACCAATATTTATACATAAAACTCAAATACGCAAAACCTATGGACAACCAACTGCTCTAGGAAGATTGGAGTTTACCACTCCTCATATGAGTTAACATTTCTTTTGCAAAGGCCGATCAAGACCTCTTTTTGAACATGTAGCACGAATGCAGCGTTCCCAGGCAATGGAACATCAATACAAATGAAATGTACTGTTATGAAAGGCGGAAAGTAAAATAATAAATAGTTGCAGTAAATAGGCAATAGAGATGCCTCCTGAGAGTGAAACGCTTATAGCATTCATGACTGACATCTGACCACATAGTAATCAAACATGCATGGTATGCTCGAGTAATAGCATGTGATAAATATATATATATATATATATATATATATATATATATATATATATATATATATATATATATATATATATATATATATATATATATATATATATATATATATATATATATATATATATATATATATATATATATATATATATATATATATATATATATATATATATATATATATATATATATATATATATATATATATATATATATATATATATATATATATATATATATATATATATATATATATATATATATATAAATGAAAATCTCCAAAGTGCAAAATTAAATTATTATTTTTCCCTTACACTAAATAAATATGTTATAGACTATCTCATTAATCATTTATTCAATATTAATGCATTCATATAATAATACACTTTTAATACCTTAATATTAAATCAAATAAATAAAATCAGTGACATTAAACAGTAAGTGAGGGGTCTTTTCATATGCCAATATTTATTATAGGCCATAAATGTACAATTTTTCTTAAGATATTATTTAAAATATATCTTTTCGCATTCCAAACATTTATTTGCTCAGTCCTTTGAGTTTCTTCTGTTATGATATCATTTATCCATAATGTTTAGTTTATACTCCACTTTATATAATAAGTTGACACAAAGATATCAAATCACTCAGTTCTTTTTTTCTTCTTGTTATCAAAAACTATCTTTTCTACATAAAATAAAATCTTCTTTATGTGTTGCATTTTGCCCAATTTTAACAAAAATGTCCAAGTAAATTTATTTTTTCCGGTTAGACAAGTTTTTTTTTTT